TTAATTAAAATAATTTATTAAATAATTTTAAACAATTAATGGTCACAGATTTTACAGATTTATTTATCAGTCACATATCATCAAATTAATTGGTCACGGATTATTTCGAGGTCACAAATCAAAAATTTTATAGGTCACATTTTAATTTTCAAGGTCACAAATTCAAAATTTTATAGGTCACAGATTCTTTTAGCTACAGATTATCAAATTTTAAAGTGACGGACCAAATCGTTGAAGTCACAGATTATTATTTTAGTCACAGGTCATCAAATTTTAAGGTTACAGACTAAATCATTAAGGTCACAGATTATTGTTTTAGTCACATATCGTCAAATTTTATAGTCACAGACCATCGCCAATAAAATAAAAAAAATATCACATTCCAGTCGCCGTAGACCGCCGTTGCCGCCACCATACACCACACCACCACCGTTAGCAAACTCCACCACCCACATCGCACCAACACAATCGGCTTCCACAAACAGTCATACACAGATCTCACATCGCAACAACACAACCGCCCCGCAAATCCCACACCGAAGACCACTGCACAGTGGTTCGAATCAAAAACCAAAAAAATCCCAAAAATAAAAAATTCTCCATAGCTACCACCACCAACACAAAACCACTCCAAAAAAGGACCAGCAACACCACCATCACCACAACCTCAGAGCACCCCAAAGACCGCATCTACCACTAGATCGCGACACTCCGCCACTCCGGTACCAGATTGCGATCGCCACTCGCAGCGGCGATAAGCATTCCACAACGGCCAAAGTTGCAGCGCCGCACTGCAGCGGCAATGTCACGATGTGCACTACCGCGTTCTGCAACGCCGCACTGCAGCGATCGGCAAAGAGAGATACAAAAGAGAGATGAGGAATGGCAAAGAAAAAAGACGGCAGACGGCAGACGGCAGCGGCACACGAAGTGGTCCATGCTATGCAGCGAGGCTTGGAGTTGGAGTTGGAGTTGGAGTTGGAGTCGCCGTCACCGTCGTGTGGGAGAAGACAGGGTAGGTCTCCGACGGCGGGGTAATAGAGGGAGAATGTGGGGGGAGAGAGAGAATCGAAATGGTTAGGGTTTGAATTGGGGAGGTATTTAATTACCTTATTTATACCGGATTTGTGAATAACAAAACATTAAACTAGATTTTTGCACTGTAAACTTGAGACACCGGGAATGGTGTAATTTCCCCCTGGGCTAATACATAACAAGTCAGGCTAATATATAAAAAAATTATAAATTTACACATAAAAAAAAAATTTTACTCAAAAAAAATTTTTTTTTTGCCCTAAAAAAATTAAGTGGGCTTGAGAGGGGACTGGGCTGGGCTGTAGCCCAGTCCCCCCTCAGATCGGCCCCTGCTTACACCCCCCTCCCACGTAGAGGAGGCTCACATACAATAAATTATATGTGGACCCCACTCTATGTGGGTGGGGAATAAACCATTATATACACCAAAAGTTTACAAGTAGCATCACCAATAAAAGAAATATTACTGGTGTTGTATGACAAGAAGTATGAAACTATGTTACTACTTATCTCCTAATTTTCTAGTCTCGTTAAATTTACTATATTGTACTTTCATTGATTGGAGGCCAAGTCACATGTCCTGATAAATCAATATTAGCCTTTCAATTTATTGTTTGTGAATACTCCACATATGTGGGGGTTGTATAAAGAAATAAATGGCATATGGTCAACAACTTAAAAACGGAAATGGCATGATAGAAGGGAATTTTTCTCATGGCATAACACGTTTAGTACGTAGTGAATCTAATGTAAATTGTCGGTCTACACGTTGATAACAAATCAACGTAATGACTTAAGAACATATGTTTCATGGCATTGAAGCTTCAACTTTCGGTTTTAATCGTCTAGATACGTTTTTGTTTACTAGTTTGCTCTGAAATTGGGTCGTACTTAAACAATTGATATGAAAACAAATACTGGTCAAAATTGACCCTTGTGGTATGTGTACGCCCCCACTTGAGAGGGGTTGTTTTTTCCTTTGAAAACTGGTTTCATAAAGTCATGTAACAGAAGTGGTAGTTGGCCTTAACAGAGGTAAAAGATAAAAAGTCGACATTAATAATTATAGAAGATAATGAGAGAAAGTATCATCGAACTTAATATAATTTTCCAATGAAAACTTCTCTTAAATACTTCATCAACCAACTAACGAGTTAACAAAATGACATCGTTTTCTTGCCCCCAGGGCATATCTCCCAGTGGCAAAGGGGAGGGCGGATAGGGCTCAGCGCGGCAGTGTGCAGAGTTCGATTCCCCGCAAAGGTGGAATTGGCTTTGTTGCAAGCGGGAGTTACCATATGGGTTAACAGCCTTGGCCTATCCATGTGCTCTCCACCCTGGCTCCTGGGAGGCACATCCTGCGATTTACCTCCTCCACGATGGCCCAGGGCAGGGTCGGTGGGGGCCCCTAAGGTTGGGGTTCGAAAGTATCATCGAACTTAATATAATTTTCCAATGAAAACTTCTCTTAAATACTTCATCAACCAACTAACGAGTTAACAAAATGACATCGTTTTCATATTGTTGATTGTGAATTATTTTGTAAACTAAACAATATTGTATTTTATTCATAAAATTACTAATACTATTTTCCTGTCTGAGAAGGACAAAAGAAGTGATAAAAAGATCAAAACGTATTATCTTGGCTTTACCAAACTGTAAATCAGTTATATGGGATTTTCAAACCCCTACTCCACATATAAACCTAACCAAACAGGAACCCTATCTTTCCCACGTGCCAATCTTACTATGATTTCAATTCAATCGTCCTATTATTTAATTCCCCCCACAAATTAGAATGAGAAAGGGCAATATGGTCATCTTAATAAAGCCTGAGCAAGGCAGGTTAAAATGTTATAGCAAATGTTTGATATGCAGTAAATAATTAAAGAAAAAAATGTGGACGAATATGTAATGTAAAATTATCTAAATGGTTCAACTAATATACTAAACATTTCTATAAGGATTTATGTGAGACTTCAAGACGAATCGGTAAATTAAGAGTCAATGGTATACTGTTCAAAACTTTTTAATTATTAGTTTTATGTCTAAATAAATTGTTAGTCGTCCAATTTACAGTATTATTTCATTTTGATTAACAATTTTTGTAAAAATTTCAAATTAGTTAAATTTTAATTTCATTTCAATCTAAGCATTGAAAAACCTCTATTTGCTAAATCAAGAAAAATATTGATGTAATGGCGGACCTCTACCTAAACTTTCACAACCACAGAACTGTTGATCTCTAAATTTGAGCAACCCAACCGTTAACATATCCCTTATCACCTCAGTATACACCTATGCGTTTCATGCACAATTGGAACAATTAGCATGTAAATGTCATCATCCTATGAGGTGGTTCAGATACCATTTGCACTCTGATGATCAAGCCACCTGTTGAGAAATATGTATGAGTGAAAGAAATAAATGGACATAATTTTGGTTAAAATTCTAAGATTGCATACGTATTCTTTGGTCAAGCCTACTGTATTTATATGAAATTAGGGTCGAGGATTTGCTACCTTTTGGACACGTATTGTTTCATATCAATGATTTTGTTTCTTGTGAAGCTATTGTTGCAAACCACCCTTGAAATGTCACCCTAATAGTCTCTGATTGTTTCTAAATGGTGAAAGCATTACGATTGGAATGAAGATGTCAAAAGATATTTAGCCTCTGTCCCAATTGTCACTATTGAAGTCGGAGGGAAAACTGGAGGACTCTTCCAAGTAGAGGGTTTGTCCCCATTTTCTTCGTCGACATGTGAGATGATTGAATTTCAAATTATGCCTTTTACATTACCTGGATGTTCTGCCATAGGCGAGCCATTTTTGTGGGTTTCTATATGGAAATGCAACCTTAAGAACGTAGTTCGATGTGCCCCTCGATCAAGTAAAGCTTTCACATACTTCGACCAGGCTTATGGACTTTGGTGAGCACCCCTGGCTCATGGGGAACTATTGTGAGGTTTGTGAGTCGTGCTCCATACGATCCAGAGTGATGTGGTAGATGTCTCTTACGTATCACTTCCTTTCTTACATGGCTTACAAATTAATGACCTCCATGTGTTGACGAACTTTTATATAGCAGTGTGCCAAAGAAGCACATTATTGCAATCTTGTTAGAAACTTAGGGTGTGTTTAACTGTGAAAATGAAATTTTCATGGAAAGAAAATAAATTTTAGACAATTGAATTGCCTAAAAATTATTTGTATGAAAATTATCAATTAAATGTGTTTAATTGATTTCATTTCAACCTAGAAAATGTTATGCTTGTTCATGTTTTATTGGTGGACATATGAGAGAGAGGATGTAGATGAGAGAGAAAGAGAGAGTGAATTATTTGAAAAATAGAAACCTACTCTCCCTAAAGAAAATATTTTCCTTGTTTTCAAGGAAAATATGGTTATGTAAACAAAGGTAGAAAAATATTTTTCTTGAAATATGAATCAATCAACACAAAAATAGGAATTTGAATGAAAAATGACATTTTTCAGGAAAATATATTGACATTCAAATGTAATCTTAATGTGTAAAAACTCAAAACTAACTTGTTGGCATCCTTGGTACTAAGTCCTATTTCAATTTGAATTAAAATTAAAATTTTAATTTAATTCAAAGTCAATAATTATTTTTAATCATATATTTCATGGGATTCACAATTTTTTAACTACACTTTTTTTTTTTTTTTTAAATTTTTATGCTTCATAAATTGCTAAATTATTTCACGGAAAATGATTCTCTTCACTATTCATATTACGGGAAGGGGTAGTCTCGTCATTCCAAAAATTGAGATTAATAATTCAGGTCTGCTATCTCTGTCTCTAGCTGGATCAAGAAAACCCATCTTTTAAACTTTCTTTGCAAGTTGATGAAGGAAAAAAAAAGTATTAATATCCGTGTGCGAGGTGCGGGGTAGGGTGGGGAAGGATGGGGTTGTTGATATTAAGAAGGCATCTAATTTCTTTATTTTAATGCTCTTGTTTTTTGTTGGTCTCTCTTTCGAGAAGGCGATTGCAGAGAACAACAACAAAGGTCTCAGTGCAAAGAGAAAACAAGGATAGAAAGAGAAAGATAGAGAGAGAGAAACGACAGCCTCAGAAACAACAGACAGAGAGATATGGAGAGACCTAGGTATATAGACTCGGAGAGAAATTAAAAAGAGAAGAATTCAAACAGTTTTATTTATTTTTTTCTCCGAATCCCACAGAGAAAAGAAAACGATGTCTGAGAGCTCTGCACACTTTTACAACCTGCAACTATAAGAGGTATGTATGTACAAACATGAATTGAAAAAGCTGAAATTTTTATGTGAACGACAACAAAAGACTCATTCGATGCTTTCACTTTTACTCCTCACTTCCTTAATTATTCTTCTTCTCTTTCTGCTCTTCTTTAATCTTGTGTTATTTTCTATGTCGTATTATGTGTTTGATCAACAAAACTCAAATTTCCATGACGGGTTTTTCTTTTCTTGGATGGATCCAATGAAAAAAAAGAGCAGATAATACAGAAGAAGGTGGGCGGTTGTTAGGGGGCTAAAAAGGACGTTATGATGAAGAAGAGGATACTGATATGGGAATAGCGGCAGCTCCACTCTCTTCTGTTACTTCTCATTCGAAGGGTCATAATTCAATCAAAATCTTGGAGAAAGAAAATTACTTCAATTCTATGTCCCAAGAATTTCATCAAGGTGTATTCAGTTTCTTGAATGGATTCGAGAGATCGCAACAAGAACAGCAGCAGCGGCATCAGCATCAACCGCAGCTCGTAACACAGCAGATCAGCCGGGATAAACTCAGAGTTCAAGGCTTTGAGCCGGCACTTCCATTGGTAGGTATGGAAGAAGAATCCAGTGGACTTCCGGTGTATGAAACCGCCGGAATTTTGTCTGAAATGTTCAATTTTCCATCTGGTACAGCCACAGCTACGGAATTATTAGAGAACCAGATATCACAGAATTACCGGAATTCAAGACAAACTCCGCCTACCGGAGCCGTCTCCAGTGACTGGTTCTCCAATCGGCAAGGACTGGGGGTGAGTGGTTTAGGGCCTTTGGGAGATTCAAAAGAACGGACTATAGTTAGTGACACTGCTCATCATCACCACCAGAACCAGATTTCAGGCATTAATGCAGACTCTGCAGCAGCCATGCAGCTTTTCTTGATGAACCCACAACAACAAAGGTCACCATCTCCATCTCACTCTCATCATCCTTCTCAGCCTTCATCCTCATCTACTCTCCACATGTTGCTTCCAAATCCATCTTCTTCTTCCACTCTCCAAGCCTTCCACAACCAAGAAGGGGCTTTTGGCGGCGGCTGCTCATCCCAATTTACCTGGGTTCCAAACAGTGGCAACGACAGCAACCCTAATGAAATTCCGGGAGTTGTGGAAGGACAAGGGCTTTCTTTATCATTATCTTCTTCACTACAACACTTGGAGGCAGCCAAGGCTGAGGAATTGAGAATTGGAGAAGGAGGGATGCTATTTTTTGGTCAAGGTGTAGGGTCAACTTCAACGCCATACCAATTCAAGAATCTGGGTGGTGGTGTTGGTAATCAGCCACTGCATTTACAAGGGGTAGTGGGTCCGAACCACCAGCTACAGGTCGGATTAGGGTCTTCCTTTTCATCGGTTCACATGTTAAGGAATTCAAAGTACGCGAAGGCGGCTCAAGAATTGTTGGAAGAATTTTGTAGTGTTGGTAGGTCTCAATTCAAGAAGAATAAATTTGGTAAGCAGAATACTTCAAACCCTAGTTCCAATCCAAGGGGCTCCGGTGGTGGCGGAGGAAATTCACCATCGTCTTCAAAAGATCCAACTCCATTATCAGCTGCTGATAGGCTCGAGCATCAGAGAAGGAAGGTTAAACTATCATCTATACTTGATGAGGCATGTAATCACTCTCTCTCTACATATCATCAAGCGCTGAAATATCTCTCTCTCTCTTCCTCTACATATCATCAAGGGCTGAAATTTCTTGGTAATTTAGTCCACCATGGGATACATAAAATCCTGGTAAATTTCCCAGAAATTATATTTTTTTGGCAAGGCCGGCCACCCTAGATTGAATTTGTTTAATTTCATGGAATATATCTCTATTTTTAAACCCAAAAATTTCATTTTTATATTAGTGGGGTATAATTAGGGCATATAGAATTTTCATTCGGTGAAACTTTGAGAGACGAACAACCAACACTATGAGATTCACGTCAATAAGAAAACTGTTTAAATTTTATTGGGAAGTTAGCCATATTCTTGATCTTGAATTACTGTTAGATCTACATGGATGAATTTCTCATTTTTTCCTCCCAACTTTTACAAGTCAATAGATGTCCATTCAGTTGACTTGCCCATTAATTTTCTTTCTATCGTCAACATTTGATTATGCTAATAATCCTAGTCCTACGTAGGAAATCTTATTGTCTGTATTCGGAAAAAGAAGGCCTAACGGGAGAGAGATGGGTATATATTCAACATATTAATATCGGAAATCATTTCTCTGTACCAAGATATGATTCGACAATTATTTTTCTACTCTAGACCCCTTATGTGCAATAATGACGATAAAGTCCACTCTTAATTTTGAATTACTTGAAATTAAAAGTAACTTTTACTTCTTAAGCTCGGCCAAACATGTTGATCAACAAATTATTTGCAGGTGGATCGAAGATACAACCATTACTGCGAGCAGATGCAAATGGTGGTGAATTCTTTCGACATGGTGATGGGATTTGGAGCGGCCGTACCATACACATCACTTGCACAGAAGGCCATGTCTCGCCATTTCCGGTGCCTGAAAGACGCCATAGCAGCACAATTGAAACACTGCTGTGAGCTTTTAGGAGAAAAAGATGCTGCTGGTTTATCAGGAGTGACCAAAGGAGAGACTCCAAGACTCAGAATTTTGGAACAAAGCCTTAGACAGCAAAGAGCATTTCATCAGATGGGAATGATGGAACAAGAAGCATGGAGACCCCAAAGAGGCTTGCCTGAACGCTCTGTCAACATTTTGAGAGCTTGGCTTTTTGAGCATTTTCTGCATCCGTACGTTTTTCAGCCCTTTTTTCTTTCAACTAATTCGTTGAAAATGAATCTTCTTAACAAAAGTTCATCACCGCAATAATTTCATTAACTGCAGTTTTCTATGATTAGACCATGCTCGACACATTTCATTATTCTTTCTTTTTCTTCTTGCGATCATCGTTTAGACTTCAAAGGTTCAGTACTATAAAGCAGTGTTTTTTTCAAGTTCTCTCGTTCCTTTCAGTATTCTATCTCAATTACGTAGGGTTTGTAACTATTAACTATAACACATATTAAGATCCCAGCAGTTTCTACCTTACATTTTCATCGCAACATGGAAAGAGGTCTACTATCTGGCAGCCACTGGTAGTAGTTTTATCATGATTCTACATTTTCACACATATGATATAGGTACAACCCGTCCAAATCTCTCTCTCTCTCTCTCAGATATAGCACGGGCCCCTCCTCTACGTTACTCTTGATCGTTTTAGAAATAACATTTATTCATTTGAATTTAGTTTTCAGTGTGGAATTTAAAACTGTGACAAGAGCACTATTTTCAAAAAGCACGACCTCACTAAAGTATTTTGTTGACCTTAAGAGAAAAACATATTTATTTAAATTTACAGTGCTATTCATCCTTCCCTTTATGCATGCTAGTATATAAAAAAAATTACATTTTAATATATATGTGGATTTTGTAAATGTTAAAAGAGGGGTGACTGGGCGTGCAGTTGTCTACTTTACTTCTGAATCTGCTGCTGTACAGCTTGCTGCAACTGATTATTATTTTTCCCTCTTAGATTTTAATGCCCACGCAGGAAAAAAAGTAAAGAAAGCTTTAGATCCAATTTACGGAACAACGTATAAAGCTTGTGCATCTCTTTATATGGTTTGGGTAAGAATTCTGAATGTAATGTCCTTTTCTTTTCTGTTCTCTTTCTCAGGTATCCAAGCGATGCAGATAAGCATCTGTTGGCTCGACAGACTGGTCTATCAAGAAACCAGGTTGGTTTGTTTTTTTGTTTTTTTTATACGTAATCACGTTTCTCTTTCACAATTTGCATGACACGATTTGATGAAACTTGTTTAGTTACCATAATAAAAACACGATTTCTTTTTTACTATTCTGAGAGATTTTGCATGAAATTTGGTTTTTTTATTCTTCTTTCTGTTTAAGAAAAAGTTAAAGACTTTTCAATTATTTCTTTTGTTTCTTTGGATTCTTTCCCACAAAGAGAAATCTGAAATGGAGAAAAGAAACCCTGTCAATATAGAAGCAAGTAGAGCGAGACATGAAAAATTTGCAGCTTTCAATCTTTCTATTTATTCAAAGTTCAAACAAAATAAATCAAGCCTCTCTCTCTCTTACGTCCACCACACATTGAAATCCACTCAAGAAATACAATAAATTAATTTGCACTAGAAACATAAGACTTTTGCTAAATTTTTCTTTCTTTTTCAATCATTTTTTTCAGTTCTAGCGGTAATTAATGCACTCTCATGCATACTACCCTATAGTGAAGTTAAGACAAAGGTTCCACGTTTTGAATTATCACTGATCAGAAAATGAAAAGAATTTTAAATGTAAACTTTATTCTACAAATAATGTTTCTTTTTTCTCAATTAAATTAATCCTTTCAGGTTTTCCCTATTCACAGTGAACTCTAGTAAAGTTAATCTTAACATCGTTTTTAAGATATATATATATATATATAAAATTAAACTGTTATTGTTCTCTAATCAACCGTAATTTTTTCTTAGTGATAATATTGAATGAGTCAACGGGGAAAATGACAGTAAAAATCTCACAAATTCTTCGTTGGCAGATTCTGATGAAACTAGTAAAACTTTCATGAAATTTCTAGAAGTCGTTCGCCGGTCTGGTCAATTGAAGTGAAATCTTGACTTATATGGTCTAATAATGTTGAGTTTGTTTGCTGTGTGAGATTCCAGGTCTCAAACTGGTTCATTAATGCCAGGGTCCGTTTGTGGAAACCCATGGTAGAAGAGATGTATCAACAAGAGGCCACTGAAGAAGAGGCAGAAGAGAGAGAGACTAATGCACAAACTCCAAGACAACAGCAGCAGTCCAATACCAACATTGCTGCAGAGACAGCTGCTACTGCTTCTGCAATTACTCCATCAGGCAAAAGATCCCAAATCAATGAACAAGAAAACGACCATTCATTCGTTGCAATTAATACTCACTCTTCATCGGAAAACCAGGCTACACAACCCAACATAATGCCTGATTCCACCTCCGCCGTGGCAGCACAATCTTTTCCGGCAGCCGCTCGCCACCAATATGGGACTGTTGATGCTGTTTCTGGGAATGCTGACATTGATGAATCTACGCTTATAAGATTTGGGACGAGTACAGGTGACGTGTCACTCACACTAGGGCTACGTCATGCCGGAAACCTACCGGAGAAGAGTCCCTTTTTAGTTAGAGACTTTGGGGGATGTTAGAGCTAAAAGATACGGCACTTATAAAATAAGTAAATCTCGACAGTTGGTCTGTCTTTTGCTTAGTGGATTATTTTTTGTTTTCTTCATCTCTGTAGACAAATACATAATTAAAAAAGTAATTTTCGTAAGGTGAACTAACTTTATCATAATTGTATAGTTATAATATTCTGTATATGTTAAATATACTAGACTCAATTTAAGGTGGTTGTTTGGGTCCAACGGGAGATGACGTGAGGTAAATGTTCATAATTTAATTAACATGCATTATCTTTTGAAAATAATGCAAGACGGATAGAATATGAATTTATTGGACGACTAACATTGGGTCTTTGTCTCCCATCTTAACTAAAAGTTTAATATATGTTATATTTAATCAATTTATGATTTTCCCTTAACATGTCTCGCAAGATAGTCGATCCTCTAAAAACACTTAACTTGGAGTGCAAATGCTGGCTTGAACTTTAAACTTTAGACATATTTCATTGTTCGTTTGAGTTTGTTAGTGCCTAGATACCAAATTCGATAAAAGGGTTCTATTTTATAACATCAATGTTCTCAAGAGTCGCAAAAGTCTTATATGTTGTGTAATTATAGATATTTGATCGAGCTGGGATTCTCCTTTTAACAGAAATTCACTGGTTGAAGTTCTTGCCACAATACTGGAGGGCTCGATGGTGGATAAAGCATAGCGAAGCGGCTGCGAGGGCCGGAGTCAAAGGGTGAAATGATGGCCGCCACCTGTGAAGGGGATGCAGCAAGTGAAAGACAGTTCGAAAGTGGTGGCGGCGGCCGTCTCCAAGCTAATGTAGGGATGCTGAAGCTCTTTCTTTATTTGGAAGGTTTATAGTTTGCCATATCAAATGGCCTTGTGGTGCATATAGCAGCAAGTAATTCACTATACGTCGTCCAAAGTATCTAGTCTGATTTTCAATCTGCTCTTGATAGGATCGATATGTCGAATATTTGCTTTTGTTATTGCGAGATATTATCTATGAGTCATGTAATTTTATTCCTGATCATGGTATTAGAGTGGCCCACACTCTAGCATCTGATAATGTATCGGGTCGAGCATCTAATAATGATGAAGGTAATTGCAACGTACTTTGTATATAGACCTCGAGAATCGTGCTAGTGAGAGTACCACGATTTCAATAAAGCATGTTAAAAGAGTAAGTATTAACCAAAATCGTGGCCAATTGTGTTCATTAAAGATCTAGTTGATCTAGATCTTTCACTAATTTTAATATTGTTGGGTGGAGAAAACGATAGAAAACAACTACTCTATCAAGTCGATTTCACATTTTCTTGATTTGGCTTATAATTAAAAATCTGTTGTATCTATCATGTTAGATATACCATAACTGATTCCAAATGACAGTCCCTTAAGTTTTAGAAAAACTATATGGAAAGCAACAATTACCTTGTACCAAATTTCTTGCTTTTTAACTCAGAAATTATCATGTTCAGTTTGAGAAATTTAAAGTTGTTGTTGTGATGATACTATCTGATTTTGTCCAAATTTGACGTGCATGGCAAAGCACCAACTCAAATCATTATCACTAGTTAATTACTTATTTTGGATAATTAACATTAAAATCTTTTATATCATACTTTCAATTATTTTGTACCAATCACGATTCACGTCTAAACTTTTTTTTTTTTTTTCCATATTTTTCTTTCCTCCTGCCATGTCTCTTTCAGTGTATATTACACTAGGCTCCTTGGAGGCACGTGGTAGGTATTATCACTGAACTCTAGAATTGATAAATAAATATTTTAGTTACAACGATAAAAACCTAATTATGAATATATTTAATTAAAATGAAGAAATTACCATCACAAGAATTTACGTGCTCAATAATCAATTCAACTATGTTAAATTAAGTTTGTTCTAGCCACGAACTAAAAATTTCAATTGAAGGTTTGTATATTTAAAGATGATAATAATGGACCAAGAGTAGAGTGTCTGTCAAAACTTTTCATTTTTGAGTAGTCTTCCTACTCTTATTAACTTGGAGAGTATGACTAAACTATTTATTCTACATTAGTGTCGTGTACGTTGAATACATCAGAAAATCTCCTCGACCCATCCATTGCCATGACTACTAGGAATTCTTTATTTTGGAGAAAAACGCGTTTTTTGGATTAATGATTTTTTGGAAAATATGTGGTTTAAATATAAGGGAAAAAAATTTATTTACATATAATATTATTTTGTTGAAAATATAAGAAAATTTTATTTTTACTAGATGGAGCCCAGGGCTTTATCACGTTACATAAATTTTCATCTCTGGTGGGTGGGTTCTTTCTGTGCATGGCCCACAATACTTAGCCTAGGGATTCCCACTACTTGAGAATGGTTTTTTTGTCTTGTTGGGTCAGATAAATAAATATTAAATTTAGAAAATTTATTTATTTTTCATACTTATTTTTAATCACACATTTACACACTAATATATTATGAGCGTAACTCAAATTTTTTTCATATATTCTTTAAAAGATCACTATATAAGATATCACTTTCTCCCAATTTTTCTTTATAATATCCATTGAACGGGGCTAAGGTATTCTAGAGAATTTAAGATTTTTTTTTTTTTTTAATTTCTTGTAGGGAAGAAAAAATAAAAATAAAATTCAGTCCAATAGGCATTAGGTGACAACTGCTTGTTGGTGGACCCTAGGCCCAATAATTTTACAAACAAAGTACCATCCACCTGCCAGACAGTAGGCCCCAATGTTTGATGGGATAGGTTCAGGGGAAAAATTTATATGTAGGGTGTATTGTTTACACCAATTCACAAATCATACACAAAATTTAAAAATTTAAAATTCAGGTTTATGTATATTTAATTGAAAATATTTATTAATTAAATATTATAAAGTCAAACTTACACGATTAATGGTCGCAGATTCATAATTATTGATCACATATCATCGAATTAATTGGTTACAGATTATTTCGAGGTCACAAATCAAATATTTTGTAGGTCACATATTATTTCGAGATCACAGGTAAAAAATTTACAGGTCACAAATCATTTCATTGGTCACAGATAAAAAATTATAAGTTACAAGGTTACATATGTTCAAATTTATTGGTCACATATTCTATCTTTTGAATTCGTAGCCTATGACCTATAACCGTGATATGATCCAATGGCTTGTAACCAAGCCTCTTGAATCTGTAACATGTGACCTATATACTTTGACGTGTATTTTGATAGGTCACATATTCAAGAGATTTTGGTCACACAAACTCAATTGATTTTGACCTATACACAGCCACCATCACCACCTATGGACATTGATCCATCACCAACATTCCACTACAACCATCATTGTAACACTCCACCACAACCACCATTATCGCACTACCACCACAACTTCTGACAACCCAACAACCAAGTAAATCACGAATGCCAACACTCCACTCTTCAACCTCTACAAATCCATTACAAAACACTAACTTGTAGTTACCACGGCCACCAGAATCCACCACAAATAAATTCCCCTCTGCAACCTCCACAAATCTATTACAAACATCAGCCCAAACAACAAACAAATCGGACCAAAATCGAGCCTCAAAATCACAAGTAATGCACGGCCTCCATCAAGATTCTTGCCACTCCGGTAACACCCATGTTCACGGACCATCACCAGCCGATTCTCACCAAGGTGATCAGCTACATGGTCTTGATTCATCAAAACCAGACCCACATGTCGATGGCGAGAATAAAAATCTCCACAGTCGCGAACAGGCAATCGATCAATTGATGGACTAAATGCATTCCAAATGATGAATTCTACCCAACAACATCCAATTGAGATCCATAATACAGTTGGTAATCGATCAATTGAACCAATTAACCAGCAAATTTACCCAAATTTCGGGATATATTACGAAAATTTCCTTTCAAGCTTTCTCTTCACCATTGACGACTCCATTGTGCTTCAATACAGCAAATCTACTGGGGGAAAATCAATGGAAGTCCAAAAGATGGCACAGAAGAGTAGGGGTAGAGAGATGTAGCCAGATTAAATTGGGGGGGGGGGAGAGCGAGAGCGAGAGTGAGAGTGGCGAATGTGTGTTTAGAGGGTGTTTAGAGAGAGAGAAGAGAGACCGGGGGAAGGGAGGGAATGGGTTTTAAATTAGGGTTTGAAATTTGATTTATGAATAATAAAATTTGACCCCTGATTTTGAATTCTAATCTTTAAACACTTGAAATTTTGTAATTTCCTCTAGGTTCAGACACGTAATTGCTGTTGGGCTTCAAAGCCCCATAACACTCTTTTCTCTCCCCACAATTTTAAATTTTGACGATTCTAAAGTCCAACTCTACTGAGTACTATGTATTTAACACGAACTATTAATTTCTTCAGTATCCATAGTTTAACCCAATGTAATAGGGCAGTAAATGAATCGAATTTGTCCATATCTAATTCGATCCGATAATTCAACGTCTATTTGATTGTTAAATTCATATTCGATTTTAGGGTTAGACAAAACTCTCGAACCGAACCGAACCCGAACCGAATAGAATCGAACCCGACGGTTCTTCTCAAGTTAAATACCCGAACGGGTATTTGAATCAAGAACCGACGGGTATGGTTCGGTTCTAGGCCAAGACCCGAAGAACCGAATAAGAACCGAATCTCCATAATTGTTTAAATTAATTTATTTTAAATAAGTAAAATTATTTTATTTTTTTTAAATAAATTTATTAACTAGTTAATTTAGTTCAAACCACAAAATATGATTTTGCTATTTCTAATATTCAGTTCAAAATCGACTTAATCAAATTGACATCAATTTTATCCAAATCTGTTATTCTACCGGAGAAAATCGAATTAAAGCTCTACAACGTTTCTCTTAATTATTTTGAGATCGCTATCTTTCTCTTTCTGTAATTTAATAATCAAATTTATGAAGAATTTAGCAAAGAGAGACGTGAAACACATAAGATTGAATTACGTTATTTTGTAAGAGCTAATATTAAATATATCATTAATTAAATTAACGTAACTTTGTATATATTAAAAAAATTTAATTATAATACGGAACCGAATGGAACCGAATCGGACCGAACCGAATGGAACCGAACCCGAACGGTTCCGTAATTAAATTTAGACCCGATGATTCCACTTACTAAATACCAGAAAATTTCGGGTCGGTTCGATTTTCGTTATAACCGAACCGAACTGGACCATGTTCAGCCCTATTCGATTTACTATATTATTGGATATCCGATCCAATAACTCAATCCAAAATATTTTACTCATTCTCTTTTTTATTGGAAAGAGGAGATTCTAAATCTCAATACAAAGTTTATTAAAATATATATTCATATTAAAATTTGATAGATTTGATATTCTTCATCAAAAGTTATAAAGTATAATATAAGTTTCAAAATGAAAAAAGTTATCTGTAACAAATTATGCGGTAATACATAAAATATATTATATTACTATAACAAATTGGATCAAGATGTTGTCGGATCAAGTTGACCTATATCCATAAGGGAAAATTTAATAAAAAAGAATATAAGTATTACCCATTTCAAAATCAAGAAAATAAGTTTCAAATTTCAAAAATCAGATTTTTATTGAAATTTATTTATGATTTAATTAATTATTTATTTTATCAAGTTCATATATTTAGGTCACAGATCTGTACAATTTGGTCACAAATTACTAATTTAATTAGACTCTTTTTATTTTTTGGTCACAAATCAAAAATTTTATGTCACAAATTATTTTACTTTCACAATTTAAAATTTTATAGGTCACAATTTATTCATCGATCACAAATCCACAAATTTATAAGTCATGATTTATTTATTGGTCATAAATCACAAATATTGTAAGTCATAACTTATTATACAATCACAAATTATCAAATTATTGGTCACACGCTATTTCTTAGTCACAATTTATATTTTTTATTAGTTACATATTGTTTATTGGTCACGGATTGATCAATTTAATGATTATAGTCAACCAAATTATTTGTTACCACCACCGAAATTTGTGACCACCATCTCACTACTGTCTTCAGTAGCACCATCACCACCTTCATCGCCAAAACCACCATCACCACCACAACAGCTCCCGATAGTTGGTCACGAACCCCACAAATAGTTGGTCACAAACATTTTCGAACCCCCCAAATAGTTGGTCACAAACATTTTCATACTACACTGCCACCACAATCACAACCTGCAACCACCACAAATCAGATCTAAAATGCCGTTGCAATCACCAAATCTCCACCAACAAATCAAATCAAAACAGCCATCGCCTTGCTGTTATTGTCACTACCTCCACAATCACTGCCATCACCACCTCCACCATTTCCAACCACTACCACATCACAGTACATCACCAAGCATAGCACTCACCCAACCACCATAGCCACACCACCACCACATTTCCCATTTCCCACCACCGCATCACAGCACCACCACCATCGCTACTATACAACACTGCGCTGCACACCATCATGGTACATCACCACAACCGCAACCACACCACCACCACACCTCCCGTTTCCCAACACCGCCACCGCACAGCACCACCACTGAGCATAGCACCACCACCATCCAGCTACACAACACCGCGCCTGCTACATAGCGCCAACCGAAATTTCCTACATGTGGTGTTGCGCCATCACAACGGCATTGCCTGAAGACGCTCTCTTGGCAGTGAGGTTTATTGATGGTGAGTGTGCAGCTTGGAGGTGATGTACTCTTCTACTGGCGGAGCTCTCTTGGCGGCGACGACGACTGTTGATGGTGAGAGAGAGGGGAGATAAGGGAGATGGATAAAGAGGAGAGAGATTAGGTTTCGAAATTGAAATTGTGGGGGTGGGTTAGATACATAATTAATTTAATTTTATATTTATAAATTAATGGTGGTTAGGTATATAATTAATTTAATTTTATAATTATAAATAAAAAAAATCTGATTTTTGAAATACTAAACTTTGCATATGATTTATGAAATGAGATATTTAAAAGTAGGGTTTTATGTAATTTCACTATTCATATTTACTTCATTTAGTTAATGAATTATCGAATTCGGATTTTAATCGAGTTATCGGACTCAGACCTTAAATCCATTTCCCATTAGTTTTATCGGATTTAGATCAAAATTTAATTCATTGACAGCTCTATATATAAGTATAACTGAGCCCCTGTTTGATTACCATTCTTTTGAAACTCTTTTTTTCTTATATTTATTTTTTAATCACTCATTCTTACAATAAAATACTTTTCACATAAACTTTTTTTTTCTTTTACTTTTTAACCATATATATTTTCTAAAAATTACTATTCAAAAACTCATTCCACCCAAAAATGATATGTTGGAATAGGATTGAATTAGACTTTAATGGGTGATATTAAAAAGAAAGAAAATTAAAAATTTCTTCGTTTTATTATTATTGACTATCTAATGCCTTGTTTGAACCCCATTCTATTAAAAATTCATTTTCAATTACACATTATTTAATAAAATAATATTTCACGTAAATTCAAAATCTTTCCTTAATTTTTAACCACACATTCTCCATCAATTTACTATTCAAAATATATTATTTCTCCAAAAACGGGACTTAAACAAGGACTAAGTCTTGCTTAGCAATGACCTGTTGTATGTTAAACCCTACAACATGCATACATCAGTTATTGAGTTGTCCATATAACATGGGAATAATCCATTTGTACCCGGCATTTGACACTTCGGGTACCTATATAGCAAAATTCATAAAACATGTTACATGTATCACATCAATGTTAATTTGCAGAATCTTTCATTTCAAAATCACATAGGTTTCAACTTATCCAATTAACCCAGTTATTGGGGAGGAAAGGACCACCCTATTCTCGTTCAGAAAATGAATGATGGATATTTCAGAAAGATGAATTTTTCAATTCCACAAAATGAGGACCACCTGACATCTGAGTTTTTCTGGATTTCAAAATCCCAGAGTATTGAAGTTTTCACTCATGAATTCAAGAACGAGTCGAAATTTTTTTTTTTTTTATAACCCAGGTGTCCCAGTTTAGCCGGACTAAATCCTGGACCTCTAGAAAAAATTAATAAGCCGTGCTGTTGTTAATGCTAGGCCGTAGTTATTAAGTGAAATACTTTAATATTTGAAACCAAAAAAAAAAAAAAAAAAAAAAAAAAAAAATTTATAAAATTCGATGCTTGATACAGAATATTTAGTCAGTTTAATTATTTCAAGAAAAAATCGACAAAAATAAGAACCCTAGTTCTTTCTTTTTTTCTATTAATACAATGTGCTTATTCGAAGTAGTTAGTAGATGTCAGAATATGTTGAGCCATCCGGTCTCCGGAATCAAGATTACTCCCTCTCAGCTGGCTTGTGAAGGTTGTCTGATGGGCTTGACTCTACGGTGCCAACACAAATATGGGCCTAGCCTGGTCCAACTTATGATCAACAGACAGACCAAGACAAGTAATGGAGAAATGTTGTGGACTGTCCCAATTGAAACCTGTCATCGTCTCAGATTAATAAGTTTCAGAAATTTCGAGAGAAACAAGCAAAACAGAAACAAGAGCCTTGTCTTACTGGCTTTCTGTTCATTAAAGCTTGGAGTTCCATCGTAAAAAGTCAACCTTATTAAAAGAAGTAATTCAAACATTTATAAATTAGTCTATGTTATGTCGCCCAAGATTGTGGCTCATTTAAACGGATCAATTTTGAAATCAGTTTGCTCAATTTTTTTTGAGTTTTAACGGATTGAATTGCTCGTTGGGAACTTAATGGACTTTGAAATTATTTTAGAACTTGAGGTTCTATGTTAAAATATCAAATTTATTAAGAAGATTGGTCAAATCCTTATAAATTATTCTATGTTTTCACCTTTATTCGATGTGGAATTTTTTATCCTCAATACTGCTTTAGGTTTGTCATCAGAGTTTCACAGCAAGTTAAATGCCAACGAGTTTCGATCAAGTATCTGCAGCACATAATTATAGAACAAGAAGAACCAGAACAAAAGTGGAAGAGGCAACATAGTTAGCATTTAGATTTTACACCTGCCATAGATTCTGTCCAAAACACAAGTTTAAAAAGGTTTGGGAACTCAAACTTTGTCATTGCATTACAGAATATTCCTTACATCGGATTAACTATTACGGTATCAAACTAAGTTCCACCACACAAAAATCAGAACTTGGGACAGTCGTAACTGTCACAAATTTCAAATATATTAAGCAAATAATTTACATTTATCAATCCAAAGGAAAGTTTAAAGAGTGTGTCATAATCTGATGAACAGAAACATTTCACTATTTCTGTTAATGCTCGAGCAGATTAAAGGCTTCTCCCTGTCTCCAGAATGTATGCTCATTGACTTCTAACAAGGCTTTCCCCTCCTTTCAAAGTTTAATTGGTTCAAGAAAGATCTTTAGGCTTTCAGTAAACATTCGAAATATCATCAACAGTTCCACGTTGGAATTAGCCGTTCTACTGTTCTGGCTGCTGGTGATATCCTGATTCTGCATATGGTCTGATGAATGTCCTCCTCCACCAGACCTCGAAAGCTCTCTGAAGATTAGGACAGTTATCCCCAGCCTTCAAAAAACTTTCTAACCAAGAAAGCAAAATACTTTGCTGGTCCTCCAAAGGCAGCGTAAGGATTGTCCTGCCAATTCCTTCCTCGACAACCTTCCTGTCAAATGACCGGCTTCCATGCTGTAACCAGTTATAGTCATTGAACAATGGCTGTAGCCAGGTTTGCAACAGTAAGTGACGAGTATCCTTAGATGGAAGAAGCTCCCCTCTTCCTATTCCAACAAGCAGCCTCGCTGTAATCATGCTTACATGGTGGCGCAACATGATTGGAAGTTTGGAATGAAGTGAAGCTAATTCTTGCTGTCTAGCCCACATTACTGCAAATTCATCGGCTGCTTTCCAGTTGGCTAAAATCTCGAGCAACCATGTGAGGTTATCAGCCTCTATAGCCATTGACTTCACCAGCGGTTCTCTGTAATCAACTGGTTTGTTGGTAAAATCGGGTTCAGCAGATTGTTTGAATAGAGACAACAGCGAATCTAGGCAGCTTCTGCATGAGGTATACAATGTATCATGGCATAAGTAGGACGATCCAGAAGAGCTCGGAAGACTGTTATTTTCCCTGAGAAGTTTCAGCACAATGGATTTTGTTTCACGGCGCCCTCTCTCCTCATTGCTCTTGAGAACTAGCTCCAATATATGAGAGAGAGTATCCTTAGGTGGCTTTGAAATATCAGAAGATACTCGTTTCAATACCGGTGTGACTCCAATGCCCTCATCTTGGAGACGCAACACTGAAGAAACCACATTCTCTTCTTCTTCTTCCCCTACCCAAGGGACTGCTTCCAAGTACTCCAAACATGATTGTATGCATGATGGGAAACCAAGTTGCTCTGCAACCTATAAGGCAGTTAGAATTAGAATTACGGCATGTGTTGCACACAATTAGATCAAGTTTGTCCCCACAGAAAAGAGTCTAGTATCGGACATATTGGTGAATACATCAATTTACTGCTTCGACTGAAAAAATATCAAAAATAAGACAAACAGGTGCAATTGTACCTTTTTCAACATAATTTTGAGGTGTACAATCAATCGTAAATTATCCTGCACTGTAGTTCAAAGTTTCAAACACAAAAATACTCCGTTCACCTTATTGATACTATGCCATACACTGAAAAGGTATTGCCTGAGTGTGAATCCAGGTCAAGACAAGGATGTTTTATTAGAAGAATTTTTCGGTCATGGCTTTCAGAAATGCTTTAACTGCTATTAGAGAGAACTAGTCCGCTGTCCCCTTGTCAAAGGATAAATTCGATTCTGACAACCCTTTTCAAAGGATACATTCGATTTTGACAACTGTACAAAATGTCTAAACCCAGATTGGAAACTACAAATCATGAGAATTTTCAGGTTTTTTTCCAGCCAAACGCCACAGAAATTAAGGTTAACTGCAAACCAAAAGGTGGTGCTTTGTGTAGAACCCTAGGCAACGAACGCCAGTGACATTTCGAATTGGATTAGTGTCATTAGACATGTCAATTTTCATAATAACTTCCAAATGGCCACCGAGTATCTCAAGGTCTTCATCTTCTATAAACAATTTATAGTCTTGTTACGCTGACTCGTACTACGTAAAGTTGGAGGAATGCATAGAAAAAAGTATCTAAATTCGTGCTAGTGCGTACATGAGCGTGAACGCAAATATTTTCTAAGATGAACTACCACAAGGATCATCTTTAAAAGCTGTCATCAAATTTTAGCTACAAACATAGAGAGAAAATCAATGGATAGTTCTTAAATTACCTTCAATATACGCAGAACACGTGCAACGCTTTGCTTAATCAACCGCTGCCTCAGTTCTCTGCAGTACATTAGTCCGACAGTTTCAACATATATCTCAACATCGTCACATTCGTCAATTTCAAGGCAGGGAAAAATAGGCTGCTGTTCTGATATCTTGTGGGCAAAATAACTGCTATTTTCCATTAGTATACTCCTGTGAACACTCAGTTTCACAGCAAAGCCCTGCTTTCCCAGCAAAATTACTTTCAGATCACTGGTTCCAGATTCACCAAACTCAATTGATACCTTCCTTGGCACATTTTCAATTTTCGGCCGAGGCGTCTTCTCACTCACCCGTGAAGCATTAAGAACAGGAGCATCTGAACTCCAACTTCGTTGCTCGTCGGTAACAAGACCTGTCCTCGATTTCGTTGTTCCTGGTTTTTTCTCATTTTCCGAGGTTTGCTTTTTCTGAACTGAAGTACTAGAATTAGGAGGAGATGATTTTGGCTTGTTTAGAGGATTCTGCGTCTTGAGTGATTTTTGGAAGACAATAGGAGAGGGACAACACCAGAACCCCTCTGGGGTCACAGCAATAGGAACATTTCTAATCTTAGTTTGACCCTGCTCTACTCTTGTAAGCCTAATTTCGGCCATTTTCAGCAGAATTCAAACCCCTTAAGTCAATTTATGGCACTTACAATGAAAACAAGAATGTGGACCCTAAGAATCCAACAAATATTTACTTCTATCCAAATTAAACAACTTCACTGTCCTCGATTAAGATAAGGAAGACAAAGGTCTAATTTTGAATTTGAACATCGGCAATCTACAGAAACTTAGCAATTGACTGAAAGATCTACGGAGAACAAAATACTTATCAGATTGAAATTCAGATCCCAGAAGCCAACATAAGGTACTGGACTAAATTCCATTACAGTTGAATCTCTCCGCAAACACTTGAAGAAAAGAAAAGAAAAAACCAATCTTTATAAACACTAGCGCAGATCTTCAAAAATCAGAAATCCCATATACCATAATTTGTACAAGGGAAGGGTAAATAGAAAACATAATTCTTGAAATTTAATACAACTAGCTCAAAATCCAAGTCCTAGGAATTTAATCTACCCATTTTACTGGAATTTCATGAATCCAAAGAAAAAGCACAAAGACTAACCAACAAATGAGAAATCTGGGAGAGCTATCTGAAAACCCAATCGCTTTACTTTATGAATCCAAGAGCCCTCTGAAAATGATTAAATGGAGCTTTGATGTCAAGCATCAAGGGAACTACTTTAACAGATATTCAACAGAGTGGAATGATGAGTTAATATTTTTATAATTTGGTATAAAGAAAGAAGCACATGATATCAAAAGTAAAAAAATCAAATAAAGTTATGATAATACATGGGTTGTTTTTGTAACTTCACCAGAGTGAGTGTTTGATTATGCTTTTCTTCATTTATTATCTTGTTTTTTTGCCTGTGCAATTTCTTTTCCTCTCCCACACAAAAAACAGTGTGTGATGTGATCAAAGAGAGACAGGCATGCAAAGTGCAGTGGGGCTGTGCTTTCTTGCTTTTTCTTGTGCAATATCTTCAACTAAAACTAAAAGCCACTCCTGTCAATTATAATGCCTAGGTTCTTGCAATTTATTTTAATGGATTTATTTATTTATTTACTTTTGGCTCATACTAATAGCAATGGCAGATTTAAAATAAAAATCGAACTTAAGATCCAAATGAAACGCTGCCAGAATCAAATCTCGTAGTCACGGACTCTAAAGAGCCTGTGCATCATAAATTTTATTGAAAATTAAATATTTTGCAAGTTCATATATAAAATTAGAACACAATATGTTCAGTTGCTTGCATCTTGACCTAGATTAAAAAGTTCGTTTATATTATATTAATAAAGGGATAGATTGACATAATATTCGATAAAAAATTTAACAAATCTTGATAAAAGTTGATAAATATGTTTCTGAAAAGTTGTAGAAGTTTTGAATCTTATGAACTTTACGTTAAAATCGAAGTTTTGTCAAAGTTAAAAATATGATAAAATTTTATCAAATTTGTTACTTCTAATGTATCTGAAAATGAAAAAGACTTAAAAATTAATTTATTTGTTTATTAATAATCCTTATTCTTTATTCCTTGTGCATGTGTCTAAGAATTCGAAACCAACAGGTCAAAAGTGCACCGGTATCCGCAATTACCAAACTTGTGTGGTTGATAAAATCGACAACTAGGCTTTGACCACTTTCATTAAATCAGCTTTATTAATTAATTGATACAAAAGTGTGTAACGTAAGAACAAATTTATTTGTTTTATTAACAATTAATGTTACTTTTAGTGGAAATTACAAAAATAGTCAACTTTTGGGTTTTCATTTACAAAAATGTCACTTTTTAAAACTCATTGCAAAATTGTCAATTTTGGTCTTTTTTGCCCCTCAGACAAATTTGAATCCCTTCTATGTCCTTGATTAAATGAGACATGACTAGTCACCAAATTGTACAAAAAACTGTGAAATGTCAGGGGGACTATAATGGGGGAAAAACCAACACAAAATCAGTAAAGAAAGTGAGAAGACCAAACAAAGAAGAAGGAGAAATTGGTCTCACAAATTCTCCTCTCTCACTGTAGTTGGCCATGGTCCACCTTCATACCGTCGATGACCACTTCCATACACAACGTTCTTGTTGCATGGAAACTGCAAACATAGCCTCCAATAGAAATATAAAACATTATTTCAGCAAAAGAAACAACAAATTAATGTATATTTTTTCTATATTCCATTTAATACGGTGTTCAATATATTATTTCTCACTAATAAGAGACACCCCAAAAACAAAATCCGTTTTAATATTTGTATCATTGCATTCGACAAAGTTTGACTTTGAGTGTCAAATCGTAACCCTCCTCCTTTACTTGTTAAATACTAGCTACAACAAGGACAAAGTGAAGAAAATAGTTAAGTAATTTGGTTGATCTTTACAAAACTTTATGGACAATTCTATCAATGACAACAGTAGCTGCCAAGAAGTGAATTTTACGAACAGTGTCACCAAAAAATAAAGCTTAGGGACAAAAGTATAGAAAGGGAAAAGTTTGGGGACAGTAACTATAGATTTTCCCAAAATAAATTATATAGGTAAAAATTAAAATCAAGATTTTAATCCAAGTTAAAGTAAATAATTAATTTTAACCATGTATTTCATGAGACCCGTAACCTTTCAATCCCATATTTCATCAATTTTGATCAAAATCTACTAAAATTTTGATTTTATTTCTTACCAGACAAGGGCCATAGTCTAGTTATTATCATGAATTGAAAGCTTTTGAGCTAATTATTATAATTTCAAATACAACTCAAGTTCTTACATACAGCTCCTATTTCATTAAATCCTTGAAGCAACATGGCTGCTGGCATTGATTTTCACCTTTGTTTACTGCCGTAGAAGGTGAATATAACGAGGATGATAATGTGGCTGCTATTGAGAAAGATGGTATAGCTAATTTGAGGAAATCCTCGAATGGTAAACCTCCAAGGAATATAGGCATTTTATAAGCACTACTACACTAGTCTCATCATCTGATTTGGTAAGTGAACTCTGTTTACCAATCAAGCTTCAATCTTGTTGAGTTCTATTAATTAAGTTTGAAGCTGTCTGTTTACTAGTATGTAGTTTTTTTTTTTTTTATTGTTATGTATTTGTTGATTCAGTTCTTATTTTAGTATAATATGTGAGTTGCAACACTTGATCTTAAATTATAAAGTGAGTCAATTGAAATTATAATATTTATTTTATGGCGCATGTGTTTATAACTTCTATGATCCTCCATTCTGGAAATTATTCTCCGATACGAAAACAAAGTTTTCCGTTTTAGCAATAGCTATTTTCAGTCGCATATTTTTTAATTAAGGATGCCAACTGTTTATGTTTATTGTGTTAGACTTAATTGGACTCTGAGATAATGAGGATAAGTGAACCTTTTCTATGTGGAGTAGTGTTATTCGTTAGAGGTATTATAGCACTAAAGAATGCGAAAAAATGAAATGAAAATTACAATTATGAGTAGATTGATTCCAACATTTTTAGGGAGTAAGAGATTTGAAACCACTTCTTGTAATAGAACATGCCAACCACAAAATGCACCACCACTGTTTGAGTTTTTGTTGAGTCTGTTTTACATGCATCGCTGCTGGCTATGAACCACGTTTAAGAGTATAGCAATCTTCGAAACCGCCTGAGCGTTTGAACTTCAAAAGTTCACAAGAAATCAAGTGCTCTCTATGTTAATTTTGTTTTTGGATTCTATTGTGGATTTAGAGTTTATATACTCTACTCATGTCCTAGTTAATGTTTCAACACATATTGGCTAGGATTATCATCTTGGTGTGATAGAAATCAAGTGCACTTGTAGGCCATTTGCGTTTGTTATGTAACGAATACATTTAGTTACTGTACATAACTTGATTATTTTTTGTATCACTGTTCAATCTCTTTTGCCTTCATTTGCTTGTCTCTAACAAAAAGAGAAAGTAAAACAATGTTGGCAGTAGGATACTTCTAATTATTTTGCTATAAGTTTTGGAAATGATATAACTTTAACTTCATGTGACACATCTATTTGAGGTTGTACTTATTTTATGGCTCCTTTCGAATACCTCACTTGTCTATCTGCTTTATGTCCTATTTAATTGTTGGAGTCAATTGAAAATGTGAATTGTAGTAGATAATTGGAACTCTAATGGATGTTACACAAACATATTGATAATTGACTTTTCAAAAAAAAAAAAAATTACACTAACACATTGATCCTTGCACTGAATTTGGAATGTTATAGCTTCTTATAACGAATTTCACCTACATGTTTTTCTTCTATTTTTAGAAGCAATTTGGCACGAGATCTATGTTCATTTTATGTTTACTATAGTATATAGACAATTTCATTTTATTTTTGTTTTTAGTTTTATCCATCTTCAAAGAGTAATGCTATATAATACCGTAGATACTAAAACATACTTCTATGTGGCAGTACATGATATGTCCAATAAATAGGTCTCATAACATCACATTAATTGAACTTACATGTTTACCCAAATATATGTCACATATGATGACATTTTAGCTTATTGAACTTACATATGATGACATTTTATTTGCATATAGATTAGCAAATTTAACTTATTCAAGGAACATGTGGTGAATCGAACGTTTCGTTTATGGTTTGGTTCCAGACTTAGATATGAATCCTATGGTTCCATTTTTAAAATAACTATTATTACCCAGTTTTTTATGATTCTCTTTGAATCTTGACTGAATTAAATCCATCCACTTTTACCGGCTTTGTTGAGCGATCTCACCACTTAAGTTGTTGACGTTATGTATGGATAATGTTAATCATTTGAGATTTTGCGATATATATGTGAAACACGTTTACATAATCATGTATTTCTTTTAATGATTTATTAAACACTTCGAAAAAGTATATCTACGCTTTACGTATTTATGCTAGTATGCCCTCTCTCTCGTCGTCTAGGAACTGTTTTCAACTCTAAACTCTGCTTTTGAGATGGGAAAAGTATGAGTACTACCTCTCCATGTTTATGGCATACATTAGCAGTTGGTGGGAGTTGGAGATTAAGAAAATGTAGTTGTATATGTGGCAATATTATTATTTATGGGTAAATAGGGTTAACACGTTCACTAGTTGCAAAAATGTTGGTATATGGTGCACACAATTAGTTAATGAAAATTATTTAAAGGGAAATTTACATATGTGTGACTAAAGTTTCCAATGCACAAAAGTCTTGAAGTGTGGGTACTTCCATTTTCCCGAATACGAACCGTCTTTGCATTTGCATGTACACTTATGGCTGAGTCATTCATGTAATAGGGTCATGTTTGAAGTCATTTATGTATACAGTCACATCTCTATGTGCAAAAAGAAAAAAAGTTAAATAGTTTAGTTGTGATTATGTCTATTAAAATGTCTGGAATGACAATTCAGTCCTTACCTCAGCTCTGTGTGTTTCACATTAATTTCGATCTTACATAAGTAAATTTGTAACGGGTGACTTGAAGTAAAATGGGTAATCCTCATTGTATGCATTTGGTGGAAATCTTGATTGACACTTGATATATCTTTCGTTTCAATATTTACGTTACATATGTCATAACCTTGCTTTCACTTGCAATCCACTTGTTGTGAATGGTACTCGTTATATTCGGGTGGAAAATTTCTACATATTAGCCGTAAACAACTCATTCCATTGGTTCAAAGATTGGTCTTTTCTTTGCAGTTGCAGTTATTTTTTGTTTTGTATGATCAAAATATGTTAATAACCAGGAAACATATTCAAAATAGGATTTCCCGACAGTTCATCTATACATAGTTGTTTCTCAACTGTCGTACCCGACACTTATCCTCTGTAATTCTCGACAGATGAATCGTCGACGGATAAAATGTCGGGACCGACAGTTCAGTTCCTGCCTGCCTAGGGCATACCAGTAGAAAATGATATTTCTATGTGATATGCGTTCAGATATAAGTATTCCTTTTATTTTTTGCATGCAACAATTTATGATGTGGAAATCATGTTTGATGTGGGAATATCTTCCGTTTCAATGCTGGGAGGAAGTTTATATTGTGGTCTGACGCAATTTTTTCTTATTTTGTCTTTGTAGACGTGGATTTCGAGCCTCTTGTCCCGGAGAATGCACGCTTGCGGGGCCACGTATCGCAAAGAAGCAATCTGCGGTATATAAAAACAGTCGTGGAACATTTTGACGAGCGACAGCGGGAAGAGTTTCGCAACTCATGCCTTGGGTTCTTATCCGAGGTTCCAGATCTCCAGTTCTCTGCCCAATTAATCCAACAACTCGTATTCTGCTGCATACAAACAAAGAAGCGGCACGAACTGTGGTTTAATTTGCAAGGCCACCTTGCTAGGTTCGAAATTCAAGAATATGCCATTGTGACTGGATTAAGGTGTGGTCTTCTCTCGGATGACAATGTCATGGACCGAGTTCTTGCGAAGAGGAGACTAAAGGACAAATACTTTAAACATGTGGACAAGATTTCTTGCGCCCAACTCGAGCAGACATTTCTTCGATCGTCAACGCCTCGAGCCGATCGGTACAAGCTTGGCCTCGCTTTGATCATCGAAGGAGTCTTCAATGCTCCGGATAACAACGTTGGTATCGATATGGAGACGTTGTCGATCGTCGACGATCTAGACTTGTTCTTTTCGTATCCTTGGGGTAGAATCTCGTACGGACGTCTGATAAAGGGCTTTCGGGGCCGTTGGGCAAGAAAATTTTTGGATGCGTCGAAGAAGAAGGAGAAGGCGGTTAGCTACACGGTCCACGGCTTTCCCATTGCCATACAGGTGTCTTTATTTTACCTACAAATTATTTCAATGCAAATGTATTTCGTGGTTTGTTTCATTCTGAACTGACATTCCTTTTTTACTCTAACAGATATGGGCGTTCGAGGCGGTGCCTGAAATTGGTGACCGCTTCGGTGAGCGTCTTGGGGAACGTTCCCCACGGCTTCTCGGCTGGACATCAACAAAACAGCCGCAGCAGCGTACGTACGACGCTTTCTTCAAGAATGTACAGGTAAAAAATTATGTTACTTCTACGATCTCATACCTTCCAGTCGTCATTGTAGCATGTGGTTATTTCGTAACGAATATGTTCATGTTGTAGCTACACGTGTACGCGACACTGCGGCCCACCGAGACTGAGCGTGGGCAACCTCATATCGCCACTCTTGTGCTGCTCAATGATGATCCTGTCCCCGCGTTGGATGACCTTGCTAGGGACAGTGTTGCTCCGCAGTTCCAAGCAGAACGTATGGGCACCCCTGAGGGTGATACTTCTGCGGAGGCCCATGACGGTGGCGGGACTAGTGGTGAGGAGGAGTTAGGAGCCGATGACAGCGGAGAGGAAGAAGGTGGGGACTCGGAGGAGGACGACAGTGAGGATAGTGACGGTGATCGAGTTGGACGAAGTGGACAGACGGGGACTTCCCCCCCCTCCCCACCAGCATAGAGCTACTTCTCCCATGGCACCGTCCACCTCTCATGTACGACCTACTGCAGCGGCTGCATCAAGTCTCACAGCAGACGATGTTCAGGGGATGTTGCTAGATCAAAGAATTCTGTTCGAAATGCGGCTCCGCACTGTGAAGCTCGAACTCATGCAGCACATGTCAGATGAATTTAAAAAGTTGAAGGACTTTATATCCACCCTCGTCCCAGCATTCGGCTCTACAACCACTGCATGTGCGACTGATGTCGACCCCAAGCCCAGACAATCAGGTACTTCACCGTATGCATATTACATTTCTTTATGACAATGTTCACTTTATCCCTGCTCACTGACATGTTCTGTA